CCGAATGATTCGATCTCAGTATAATCACATTGTGCCATCCTACCCTTATTACCTGTTTGGGCATATGTTTGCAGCCAGGCCCACCTCATCATCCTCCAGCAGTGGCCACCGTTTGGGAGCCATTTCAGCGAAGAAGATAAGAAGGCGGCGAAGGTCGACAACACTAAATCTAAAAAAAAAAGAGTAAACGGAACAAAAGAAATAAGATTTGAAAGAATTAATCTTTGTTCTTTCTTGAATTTCATGTCCCTTGCTTACTATAATTAGATTAATTAGCTATACATTGATGGAAATCAACAAGTTAAGTCCTTAGATACATCTGATTTCAATCTCATAATTTATATGAGAACACAAAAAGACCTTTCCATGGCATAGAACAATGAGAAAATAAAAGCATATAAAAAACAAGTGGTAATATAGCAAACAATGAATAAATCACAAAAGCTAGATCTAAAAAAACTGTGATCAAAGTCTGAAAGTTTATTCATCTCACTTGTATCGCAGCCATATATACAATACACTTGTTAATACTTCTTCCTTTGAGTTCCATATAAAGATCTTTTTGGTATATTTCCTGTTAAAGAAGAAATGATATTTTCATCCTTATTCATCAAGGAAGGGCTTTTCGTTTGTTCCTTACATTCATCAGACTTAATGTCAGGTATTTTCTTATCCAATGTGCTTCTTTTACTGAGTGGCTTGTGAGAAGATACTTTACTTGAACATAATGAAATGTTCGGCATGGCAATGTTCTCATCTTCTTATTGTATTGTGTGAATAAGATGCACTTTGATTTGCAGGTCTTTTTATTGTATTGTGTGAATAAGATGCACTTTGAATAAGATGCACTTTGATTTGCAGGTCTTTCAAAGTGCATGGCAATGCACTTTGATTTGCAGGTCTTTTTATTGTATTGTGTGAATCCATGTTAAATTTGGAATCGGGATGCTTTAGCACTCGCAAACCTTTATTCTCTTTGAATTCCAAAGCAGCCTCCACTTCTTGGACTCTCAACTGAAAGATACTTGGTACAAGGTTAGTCACAAATATGAAAGTGTATTTATTTTCGACAGAGCTACCTTCAACTTCTTTATCTTGTCGTTGACCTTCTCAAGTTTCTGAAGGCACCGTGCTTCACCTCGTTCTAACATGGTGCACTTGGCCATAAGTTCCTTTTAATTCCTACATCTTCAATATCAATGTTGAGCATAAAGATGATAAGAAAAAGATCATCACTTGGTGATAGCTAGATAAGTCTTCATATCGTAAGTAATTTGTCTAATTCTAACATCTAATTAATTTTGTGTAGTTAAATTTAGACATACACTCATAACCATGAGTTAACTTGTTCGAAAGGACTAAGTAATAAAGGGAAAGAGAGAAGATGGAAAAATAAAAGGTGGGAATGGAATGAAGACTGTGAAGCCAGATGTTTAAATTTCATAAATTAAATAGTGACTCAAAAGATAGTACTGACAATAGTGCTGAAAAGGCCAAAAGCTCTTACTTCTTACAAATCAACAATGATTTTCTCAGAACATCAACAGTTTCTTTGTTGCCTGAATCATTTCCTAATGACGCCAGCTTCAGAACTTGATCTTCTTCCAAGTCCACATTACATACTCTGAAACAAAAGGCATCAATTCTTTCAGCATGTACAAATTCTGCCTCAGTGAAGCATGTAAAAAATTACAAAGAGACTACAAGTCAACAATTGCTTAATATACATTTTAATTGCTGCAAGTTCCCTGGTCAAAGCCATATTTCTCTCCTTCAGTTTCATGCATTCTAAATTCGACTTCTCAAGCTCCTGCAATTATTTAGTGTATAGTAAGTAACTAAGTATAAATGTGTTTTTCATGAAGCTATTATAAAAGTAAATTGCTCACTTCAGATTTCACTCGAAGAAACTTCTGCCTGATTCCATTTTGAGTTACAGCTTCGTTTTTAAGAATCACTTCTACTTTCACTTGATCCTTGCATGAGATGAGCTACGATAAAAGATTAGCATTACATTTCGCAATCGTTATTATTGCATCATCACGACATTTCAATATCTAACAGAATAGTATAATTTTTTTTGTCAGCTTTTAGTTCTCCGAGCATTAAGAATGTCATCCAAGCACATTGATACGTGTTAGAATCCACTTTCCATTAGTTTTTAGTCTCATAATTACCTCGTTAGATGTTGCAGTTCAGCTTCAATGCTCTTTCGAACAGCCCCATCAAACTGCCATTCTCCATCTATAACACAATCGATAACCTCTAAATATTGGATATACTTTAGTTGACAAACAGTAACTGGAACACAAAAAGTTTTGCTGATTTAAATGGAGTCTGAACTTATATTTACCTTGGGACCAGACCAATTATTAGATGAAAAATGGCGTGAACATGTTAATCACTACTCACCACACAGCTACACGACTCAAACACCTGCCTGGTAACTTGACCGAGGGGAAACCTCTTCATCTTGGTATGCCTCATGTTCTTTTTCATGATGACCACAACGTGCCTCGGCATTGGCTTTCCCTAGGTCTCTGGCTTTCCCTCGGCATTGAATTTGATGTGCTTGGGTACATACTCCTATAAATCACACAGCAGTAGCAAATAAGAAATGATTAAAATCGGGTATGCCGACAACACCACCGAAACAACGGCAGTGGCGGCATCTGTAATGACTGACTTTCATAATCGCGACCAACACGCCACCTCTTCAAAACGAAAACGAAAACATAGGAAACAGATCGAAAAAACCAATGAAAAAAAACAAGCAAATCATACCTTTCAGTGTCAGTTGTTTTCAGCCATATAAGCCCGCTTTACTTTCTCCATCAAACATCAAACCAGAAACTGTATATCCGAAAAGCGCATAGCGACTGGTGGCTATCCTGATACCAAAAAAAATACAAAAACATTATCTTAACAAAATATTTAAGGTCTATTCATCTAATCTATTTTCAACAAAACGCCCTCCAAAATCTACAAAACATAAAGAATATATTTTAAATATCTCCTGTAATTCATATTGAAATATAAACAATCAAAAGCATAAGCTGGAATATGACATAAGAAATAAGTCAGCAGGAACTCCAAAATTAAAGTTCACTTAACACAATCAAAATCTCATACATATTTTTCTGTGCATAATCCAATTAAATGAAACAATTATGGTAAATAAAAATATAGGAGTAGAGTACACGAATCGAATTGAATCAGGGCAGCGTGGACAAATGAAGGGCCTGTTTGGTCTCCAACGACAGCAGCACTGCCACCACATCCAATCCATTTGTATCCCCGAACTCCAGAGCCAATTTCTCGGTTGCTGTCTTCGTTACCACGTAAGCCTCGACAAATATCCGCAGCGACCTTAGAAACTCGATGTCGGTCCACGAGCTCTCATCCACGGCGGCGGGCGCGCCAGATTGTTTATAAAAGGAAAATAAGGAAAGTAAGAAATAAGATAAGACAATTTAAGTTTATACACCAGCAACTTATGACTTTTGTTACAGATCTTACCTCTCCATCATATTCTTTCATTTAGAGGACCTCTGGAGCAATATAAGCAGGTGTAAAACCAGTTGGTTTTGGCCTCGAATGAAGTAGAGATGACTTAGAAAGAGAAAGAAAGAAGGAAAAGGGAAAGCACACAATTATTTGTGCACATAAATTCTTAAACAAAAGATACACCTACATATCCAGTATCTATCACTACCTTTGAGTAACCAAAGTCGCATATTTTTAGGCGAGGGGCTGGGCTTTTCAGAGGGGCATTGTTGCTACTCTTGTTCATGTCAATTGTTGTGGTAAGCAGACCTCCAAATAGATTAGGGTTCCTATTGTCCACAATCCTCATTCCTGACTTTAGAAAAAATATGTTGATGTGTTACCAAAACAGAATATTTCAAAAACAAAAAAGATATTCTAAAACATTTAAACCTGATAAAAAGTAACAGACCTATGTGTATTATGTGCTTTCTCAGGAAGATGCACCTTGAATTTTGATGAAGTGATTGGAAATATCAGAGCTGTGACATGTAGCTTTAGACACACACACCCACGCACGCGCACACACACACACACACACAAAAATAATCCTCATGAACCCTAATTAAATCCAAGTACCAGTCACGAACCTAATTCGAACCAAAAATTTAAGGGTTATGAACCCTAATTCGAATAAAAAATTTAAGAGTAAAAAACCCTAATTCGAACAAAAAACCCTAACTCGAACCAAAAAAGAGAGTGAAGTTGAATAGAGCACATGATTGATAGGAGCTGCGGGGTTGCCGGCGTGGTCGATTCGTCGGATAAGAGCGGGTTTGCCAACGATGAGTTGGAGTGCGGTCGATTTTTTGCCGGCAAGTAAAGGGGCGGTCGGTCGAATTCAGAGAAGACGATTGTGAGAAGAAGGGCGATCAATTTTTTGTCGGCGAGGAGCTGCGAGGAGCGGCCAGTCGAATTCAGAGAAGGAAATTGTAAGAAGAAGGGGGACAAAGGTGTGGGAAGTCTTGTATGCTAAGCAAAAGAACTGACCATACTTACTCACCTTTTTGTCTTTTCAGTAGGGGAAGAATGCAAAAGAACTGACCATACCTACTCACCTTTTTGTCTTTTCAGTAGGGGAAGAACGTAGGGAAGAACGGAAAATGGGGGAAAGTGACGGACACAAAATGATGACCGATTTAATTAACAATAAATAAACTCAATGGCAAAGATGTAAATAAATGACAAAAAGAAGGACATTTTCGTCCAAAAAGGACACATGTCAGCACCAGAAATGCCCAAAGTTGTTTGGTTATATGTATTGTAGAGATTTAAGGTCAGATGAAACATGATTTATTCGATTGAATTTGATCATATTGGACAATAACTCGCTATGACATGTAATTGCTCGCGGTTGTGCACTACGTGTGCCGTCCCCTTCCTCGAGCAAATTCTTCGAATAGTTAAACATTTTTTCACCCAACATGAAGTAAATGAACTTAACATGATCTAATACAACTAAATAAACCTGAGTTATTCGGAAGTTGCCGGATAAAATGAAGGTTTACTTGATCACGGCCAATTCATGGCATAACCGAGTTTATCATGACTTTTTCTATGAATTCTTGGTATAAGCTGCAAAATTTGGACTTGGATTAATTAGTACAACATGAAATAATAGTGAGGGTAAAATTACCTCTCAATATACTCGAAAGATTCCTCAAGGATGGCCGCGTTTCTCGGCTCCGTGTGCGTGATAGAATTCTCCGTGAAATTCTTACGTGAAAATGGACTTAAACTTGCTTTATTACACTTAATTATAGCTTAGTGAATATCTTAGGGGAGACTGAAGTTTTACTCCACTGTCTTGCATAAATGGCTGATTAATTGATAGTGAAAATTAGAGAGATTTCAATGGCCAATGGCCATGAGCCATTTGCCAAGCATAGAAGGCCATAGGTGTCCTTTATGCTTAGTCACCACTTTGGTTAGTAAATAAATGCCACATATAAAACTTGTAATGATGATACACACATGAAGAAGTGGAGACTAAATTCTCACGGCCCTAAGCTTGAGGTTAGCCTAAGCATGTGCTAACGAAGCGTGCTTGACACTAATCTTAGCACAATCACTTAACTTGCTTAGTGACGTGCATAACATACGATCACTCGGTTATTAGTTCCATGAACATGTACATTAAGCACGCTTATTAATTAATACGCGCGCGATTATCGAGCGATTGGACATGAATCACTTATCGGAAAATTATTCCGAACATGAACTTGATATTCGAAAATTAATTCGAACATTCTTAACTGAAATAAATAGTCCCGGTCAATAACGCTTAATAAAATAAATATTCCGGAGCTACTACCGTAAGGCTACGGTTTTGGACTTAATGATGTAATTAGTTGCTCAATTAATCCCTTAAAATAGGTTTAATTTTTCAATTAAACATAATACTCACTTACCAAAATTATTCCGAACGTATACGGTACGTCGAAAATAAATTTCGGTAATCTCGACTGAAAATAATTAATTCCGACAATAATAATCGCTAACGTTATTATGTCGGAACTAAAACATAATTTATACCGATAAAATATCTGGATATTACAGGAGGTGGACACCAGCATCAGGAGGGAGGCCATCTATGATCGTCCTCAGCCATTCTCCCCCGCCCAGTCATCCACAATTCTGCCAGCCCTACCAGCCGCCCAGCCGACGAAGGAAAAGAAGAGGAAGGGGAAGGGCGAACAGACCGACCGGAGGACCCGACAGAGGCAGCAGCAGGTTCCACAGTGACCCACATGCGGACGTTTTAACCGAGGCGAGTGTCGCTTCGGCCAAGATATAAGCTACTACTGTCACGAGCCCGGACACTTTGCTAACCGTTGTCCGAAGAAGGCCCAGCAGTAGCCTCAGCAGCCTCAGCAGCCACAGCAGCAGCAGCAGCCCCGTCAGCAGGCTCAGAGGCCACCAAAACAGCAGCAGCGGAGCAGACAGCAGGCCCGAGTTTACGCCGTCGATCAGATCGAGGCCGAGCAGCAGCCAGGTACTATGTCAGGGATGATCATGCTTAATAATATTACTGTTTTCGCTTTGTTCGATACTGGAGCGTTGGATTCTTTCATTTCACGATGATGTCTTGATGCCATCGGAGTTCATGCCATTACCGCTGTCAATCCTCTCGAGGTGAGTCTAGCCTCGGGACGAAAGATAGTGACCTCAGCTAGAGCTTCAGATCTCAGCCTTTCTATCGGTGGTCGTTCATTGTCTGCCGACGCGTATGTTCTTGAGATGAGGGACTTCGACCTTATTCTCGGGATGGATTGGCTATCCTTCTATCACGCAGATATCAGATGTCATGACCGGAAGATTACTCTTTATCTTCCGGGAGACGAGTCGATTACTTTCTTTGGCATCTGGAATCGTTCATTGCCTCATGTTGTTTCGATGGCAAAATCCACCAAGTTGCTGCGACGAGGCAACTGCCAGGGTTATCTGGTGAGCCTTGTCGATGATTCTCCGAAAGCACGATCACCTCATGATGTTCCAGTTGTTCGTGAGTTTGTGGACGTGTTCCCAGACGAGCTTCCAGGAGGGCCGCCTAACCGGCAGGTGGAGTTCTCTATTGACCTCATTCCAGGAGCCGGCCCCGTATCCAAAGCCCCATACCGTATGGCGCCTAAAGAGTTGCAGGAGCTTAAGGCGTAGATTCAGGAGTTGTTACGACTCGGTTTCATCCGACCGAGCGTGTCACCTTGGGGAGCACCCGTTCTCTTTGTCAAGAAGAAGGAAGGATCCATGCGCATGTGTATCGACTACCGGGATCTTAACCGGTTGACGATCAAGAACAAGTATCCGCTTCCCAGGATCGACGACTTATTCGATCAGTTGAGGGGAGCCTGTGTATTCTCAAAGATTGATTTACGATCAGGCTACCACCATCTGAAGATTAAGGAGTCAGATATCACTAAGACCGCTTTCAGGACTCGTTACGGCCATTACGAGTTCGTCGTCATGCCATTCGGCCTCAGTAATGCTCCAGCGGTTTTGATGGACCTGATGAACCGTATTTTCCATCCCTACCTCGATCAGTTCGTTATTGTTTTCATTGACGATATTCTTATATACTCAAAGAGCCAGAAGGAGCACGAGGAGCATCTGAGGGTTGTTCTCGAAACCCTCAGACGAGAAAAGTTGTTTGCGAAATTCTCCAAATGCGAGTTCTGGCTCCAGCGAGTAGCTTTTCTGGGTCATGTGATTACTCAGTCAGGTATCGAGGTGGACCCTTCTAAGGTCTCAGCCATTTAGAACTGTTCGACACCGAAGAGTACGTCCGAGGTTCGCAGTTTTCTCAGATTAGCTGGCTATTACCTCAGGTTCATCGAGGGCTTTTCTAAGATTGCCCTCCCACTATCCCAGCTGACGAGGAAGTCTGTGAAGTTCGAGTGGACTAATCATTGTGAGGCGAGCTTTCAGGAGCTCAAGAGGAGATTAACTTCAGCCCCGGTGTTGACTATTCCCGATCCTTCTCGGAGTTTCACCATTTTCAGTGATGCTTCGAAGCAGGAACTGGGATGTGTACTCATGCAGGACGGCCAGGTCGTTGCCTATACATCACGCCAGCTTAAGCCACACGAACAGAACTATCCGACGCTTGACTTGGAGTTAGCCGCAGTTGTTCATGCACTCAAGATCTGGCGACACTACCTTTACGGCGGTCGTTGTGAGATTTTCACAGATCATAAGAGCCTGCAGTACATTTTCACTCAGAAGGAGCTTAACATGAGACAGCGCCGTTGGCTCGAGCTCGTCAAGGATTACGATTCTCGATTCAGTATCATCCGGAAAAGACGAACGTCGTTGCTGACGCCCTAAGCCGAAAGGTGAGGGGTGACTTGACGTACGTCATTACTCAGCAGAATCCGTTGATTAAGGAGTTTGCCCGGATGCAGATTCAGGCGGTCGATGCACTTACCACAGCCGTTTTAGGGAGTGTCAGTGCCAGTATCAATGCCATGCAGCTTCAGCTGACGCTGAGAGAGAGAATCGGCGGGAACAAGCTTCTGACGAGTTCGTTCGAGTCATGGAGGCCAAAGTCCGCGCCGGAGGCGTCGAGAGTTTTCCATTAGGTTCAGATGGAGCTTTAGAATTTAGAGGCAGGATCGTGGTCCCGAAAGTCGAGGCGTTGCGGAAGGAGATATTAGCAGAGGCTCATACCGCACCCTATTTAGCCCATCTCGGGAGCACGAAGATGTATCATGACCTGAAAGGTCGTTTTGGTGGCGCAGAATGAAGAAGGACGTCGCTGAGTTCGTCAGGAGATGTTTTACCTATCAGCAAGTCAAAGCCGAACATCAGAGTCTGATCGGCCTCCTGCAACCACTGTCGATTTCGAGGTGGAAGTGGGAGGAAGTTACGATAGATTTCGTTACGGGATTACCGAGGTCGTCTGAACATCACGACGCTATTTGGGTCGTGGTCGACAGATTGACTAAGGTCGCTCATTTCTTACCCGTTTCGATGAAGATGTCTTTGGATAAGTTGGCTGAGATATATACCCGTGGGATCATTCGACTCGACAGAGTGCCCGTTACTATCGTATCAGACAGAGATCCCAGATTCGTCAGTAGATTCTGGCACAGTTTACACGAGGCGATGGGCACGAAGCTTGAGTTCAATTCAGCCTACCATCCGGAAACAGATGGTCAGTCCGAGCGGACCATTCAGACGCTTGAGGAAATGCTTTGCTTCGCGCTTTGGTTGTCGACAGGGGTGCTAAGTGGGAGTCGTTGTTACCGTACGCCGAGTTCGTGTATAACAACAGCTATCATTCTTCTATTCAGATGGCTCCTTACGAGGCACTATATGGCCGTAAGTGTCGTTCCCCTCTTTATTGGGACGACGTCGGAGAGCGACGAGTACTCGGTCCGAAGATGATCGAGGAGACGGAAGAGCAGGTCGAGTTGATCCGGCAGAGACTCAAGACAGCTCAGAGTCGATAGAAATCCTCAGCCGATCATCATCGACGAGACATTCAGTTCGAGGTGGGCGAGCCAGCTTTTCTTAGAGTTCGTCCTATTCGCGGAGTTGTTCGATTCGGGAAGAATGGGAAGCTGTACCCTCGATTCATTGGCCCGTTCGAGGTTCTTGAGCGAGTAGGCGAAGTCGCATATCGATTAGCCTTACCTCCCGAGCTATCAGGCATTCATAATGTTTTCCACGCATCTATGTTGCGTAAGTACGTGTGCAACCCCGATCATGTTATTCCTCATTCAGATATTCAAGTTCAGCCAGACTTATCGTACGAGGAGCGACCGGTAGCTGTACTGGACCGTCAGGTTCGTCGGCTCCGGAAGCGAAATTTTCCTCTCGTGCGTATTCAGTGGGATCGCCACGGAGTTACTTGGGAGGCAGAAGCCGATATTCGAGCTCGTTTTCCAGATTTTCAGTTTTGATGTACATATTTTCATGTTCCATGTACATATTTCTTGTATAATCAGTTATGTTTTGAATTTCCGAGGACGGAAATTTTTAAGGAGGGAGGATTGTAATATCCCGTCAGATTAATAATATAAATCATGTTTTAATTCCGATTGAATAATATTGTCGAGTATTATTTTCGGAATTAATTATTTTCAGTCGAAATTACCCGAAATTATTTTCGACGTTCTATTTACGTTCAGAATAATTTTGGTAATTAAGCATTATGTTTAATTAAATAATTAAACATAATGTAGTGATTAATCCCACTTAAGCATTAAGGCAGTAGCCATTTTTCCCAAATTGATTCTTAATTGCCGTAGCAATTTTGCAAATCCTTAAGCCAAGGGAAATCTTCTCCTACTTAGCGTGAGGTGGCACTATTTTAATGCCTAAGTTGTGACTAAGCACTCTTATGGGTGAGTAAGCATCTAGGATTAATTTGGTAATGGCAAGTGGAAGAAACCTATTAAGCCACATCAACACTACATCATCCCAACTTCTTTCTTCCATTCGGTTCTAGTATAAATAGAGTACTTGGGATGAAATTTCTCCTCACGTTTTCAGCACTATATTTCCTCTCCAAATATACTAAGTCCAGCAAGTAGATAGGTGAGCAATTGCCTTAGTTTCTTCACACCGTAAGCTACGGCACCGCACGCGCATCGCACAACGAGAAGCTTAGCACTGCCGGAGGCTCCGGTTGTCTCGACCAATTAGAGCGATCAGCCGAGTGTTAAGGAGGTAACTTCAGTTTACCTTTGTTAAGTTGTGTTAGCTCCGATCGATTTAATCATGTTCATAGAACGGAATCAAGCCGTTCGGCCATGCGTAAGGCTATAGCAAGTGCGTTCATGTTATGATGTGAAATCTTTCAAGCAAATTTCGCATGTCTAATTATTTTATGCAACATCATGTCTATTCAGTTTAAGTTGTTCGAAAGAATATGAAGTTCAGTCGTTGTTTTGGCCGAAGGACGTGGCCGTGCACGTAGCACGAGCCACGGGCCGCTCATGTGTATCAAGTTCATTAAGTAAATACTCTTTCGAACATTCATGTCTATTTATTCAGTAAGTTATGTTTCATGATTAGTTATGTATGAATTGCTGAGAGAAAAATCAGTTTGGTCGTGAAAACGGCTTAACGCCGTCGGCGGCGCTCGGTGCGTCTGCCGCGGCCGAGTCCAGCTCTTCGTGCAAGAAGTCATGTTTTCAAGTTATTTCATGTTGATGATCATGTTAAGTCAGTTGAGGTTGGATTAGTCGATAGGAGTTGCCGGACGGCCGGCAAGGGCCGGCCGTGGCCGCGCTGCCCGCACGTAG